TAATGAGTACAAGAAGTAATTTAAATAAATAGTTATAAAAAGTGTGAAGAACTAGATTAAGATATCATATATATTACACATTTTTATAAGATAACAAATAATCATAATCTTGCACAAATTAATTTTAAAAATACCTAAGAATACTATATCTTCTACTTGAACACGACCGGTGCGTCCAATTTCCATAGCTCTATGTGTCATTTCAGTAATGAACTCAATAACTAGATCTTCTAATAAATCGACACTTTCTGTATACGGATTTTGATCATCACCAAAACCATACATCATACATCGCAATTCTTTTGAAAACAAACGTTTCCTACCGCCAGGTAAAGTTCCACCAATCGGTATTTCGGCTTCCTCGTCTTCAAACTGTAATTAAATTAATTAAATTTTAGTTCATAATTGATATCGAAAATCAATTTCAAAATTATAATCATAATAATTAAATTAAATTCTAATAATTAAGCTGAAAAAATATTTGAAAAAATGAGGTTAGATTTGATTTCAACTGAGGTTAGAAATTTTTCAAGTTTACAGCAAAACTGACATTAAATATTCAAACTTCTTAAAATAATAACATTTAAAGTGTAGAAAACATACCTGTTCAAAACCTTCTTCTGCGGCCATAATTTTACATGAATTTAGATAATTTAGATTTAAGGTATGTTTACTGTAAGTACGTATACGTATGTTATGCATTTAAGGAATGCGCATAAACAAGATGGCAAATGAAATCAGCTGAAATTAGTCGCAACTGATTTGAACAGTTTTTTAATAACTTCAGTTGTATTTAAAAAACTATGGTTAAAACTAAAGAATATATCTGTATAAACTGATAAATAATTCAACATATTAATGAAATATTTTTGAGGAATTCAAAATTATGTCAACTGCAACTCCAGTATCAAAAACTTGGAAAGAAATTAATCGTTTACATAAGGAACAACGAAAAAAATGGCGGGAAGAGAGGTTAGCAAAAAAATTTAAGAAAGAAGAAAGTACGAAAGATTCACAAGATGAAGAGATAAAACCTGTTGAAGAACACTTCGAGAAAAAAGATGTGTCAACGGTTAGTATTGCGGTTCCTGGATCAATTTTGGACAATGCCCAGTCCGTAGAGTTACGAACGTATCTAGCTGGGCAAATAGCACGTGCAGCATGTATTTACAAAATAGACGAAATTGTTGTTTTCGACGACAAAGGAGAAGTAACGGAAAGTGAAAAGAAAAAACTAAGGACGGACGAGGTATTGGGAGAAAGAAGAATTGGTTGTTTACAATTAGCTAGAATATTGCAGTATCTCGAGTGTCCACAGTACTTAAGAAAATATTTCTTTCCAATTCATAAAGATTTGCAATATGCTGGAGTGTTAAATCCTTTAGATGCTCCACATCATCTCCGTCAACAAGATGTTTCTTTGTATCGAGAAGGAGTAGTTACAAATAAACCAGTTAAAGCTGGTAAAGGTTCATATGTTAATGTGGGATTACTGAACGATGTTTATGTAGAAAAAGTATTAACTACTGGATTGAGAGTTACTGTCAAAATACCAGAGAACCAATCAAATCCCAAGAAGTTAAAAGCATTCATTGTACCTCCTGACATACCTAAATCTGATACTGGTACTTATTGGGGATATACAGTGAGATTAGCTAATAATCTTACGGAAGCATTAACACAATGTCCTTATAAAAGTGGATATGATTTGACAATTGGAACTTCAGACAAAGGAAAACCTATTGATGATACAGAACCTCATAGCTTGGAATATCATCACGTACTGGTCATTTTTGGAGGTTTAAGTGGATTAGAAGCTGCACTAGATGTTGATCCAAACTTGGATGTGGATGATCCATCTTTGCTGTTTGATAAATATTTAAATACCTGCCCTCAACAAGGATCAAGAACTATAAGAACAGAGGAAGCTATTTTGATAAGTCTAGCAGAATTAAGAAAGAAATTATCTCCCAGAGTCATTCCGTTACCCGTTCCACAGGTTAATGATTCTGTAAGTAATTGATTTAAGTGATCGTACAACATTAATAAACATAAGTAATGCTATAAAAATCAGAAAATAGTGTTTATTTATTTCATTTCTTTTTGTAAATATTCTATACAAATTTATTTGAAATTTAAAAAATTTGTAATATATACATAATATTCATTTTGCATATTTTTAATATTATTTTTTTCACCAATATTTAACTATTCTGTAATGCACAATTTACTGTGTCTCTTAAAGTTTTTATAACTTTTGCTTGATCAGAGGAACCTATAACTGCTGTCCCTGAGACAATCATATTTGCTCCAGCCTGAAAAAATAGTTGCATTGTATTTTTAACATTAATAGAATATATCATTAAGTTTTGCTACATACTTTTGCACATGCATCAATAGTAGATGGTCCTACACCCCCATCTACTTCTATGTCTAAAGTAGGATAATTTTTTCTTAGCCAAGCTACTTTTTCCATCATTGGTTGCATGAATTTTTGTCCACCAAAACCTGGTTCTACAGTCATAATTAATACCATGTCTGCTAGGTCCACATAATCTACAACTACATCTACTGGTGTTCCAGGTTTAAGTGCTACTCCAACCTTTTGTTGAAAGAAAGAACCCAAGTTTTTGTAGTTTAATATATTGATAAAATAGTACTTGAAAACTTTCAAGCCATTTAATGTATAAATTGTATACCTTCATTCCTGATTCTCGTACTTTTCTGCAAACTAGTGGAATATCTTTCACTGGTTCCACATGGAATGTGTACTGATTGACACCAGCATCAGCCATAGGTTCTATCCACTATAAAAAAATTTATTACGTTTTTGTAAGCGATAGAATATTTTTAATTAATAAACTAAAATCATTTATTAGGAATTCATTAAGAATCACATAATTTATATTTTATAAACATAAAATAAAAATTCGAATATAATAAAAAATTTGAGCATACCTGTTCTGGATTAGAGACCATCATATGGGTTTCCAAAAATGCATCTTTTACTTTATTACGGAGGCATTTTACTAATGGATGGCCGAAAGTAAGGTTAGGTACAAAATGCCCATCCATAACATCTAAATGTAAATAATCAGCACCATTGTTAATCAATCGCTGAGATTCTTCTGATAACTGTCCCAAATCGGCATTCAAAATCGAAGGTCCAATCTTGGCAGTAATCTTTTTTCCCATTTTTACTTTGTAAATACTACGAACACGTGCTTTCTTGTGAATGATGATATAGCGCTATCGAATATGGATAATTGCCAAGGTCATTTGTAGATGAGTTTCTTTGGATAATACTCGTAACATTTCAGAAACATGTAGAAAGTTCGTTACTTTAGAAATTAAGTAGTATATAAGTTGTACAAAAGGGAATAAATAAATCACAAATTTATAAACACTGTACGAAAAGAAATACATTTATTTATACATAAAAATATAGTGTTTCACAATAGGTACGACATTATGAAAATATTAATAAAAAAATTATACTGAAAAATACTCAGGATACGTAACGTATAATAATTAATACTAGTAGATGATAAGTAATACTAATGAATAATAAGCAAAATAATAGTAGACTTATAAAAGTGACATTCCCGTTCACCGGTAATGTACGATGCAAAATAATATATAATTACTCTTAACATTAAACGAAGTATCCTTCTTTGTAGCTTGGCTGCAAGGGCAGNATAATAACAAATTTGAGCATACCTGTTCTGGATTAGAGACCATCATATGGGTTTCCAAAAATGCATCTTTTACTTTATTACGGAGGCATTTTACTAATGGATGGCCGAAAGTAAGGTTAGGTACAAAATGCCCATCCATAACATCTAAATGTAAATAATCAGCACCATTGTTAATCAATCGCTGAGATTCTTCTGATAACTGTCCCAAATCGGCATTCAAAATCGAAGGTCCAATCTTGGCAGTAATCTTTTTTCCCATTTTTACTTTGTAAATACTACGAACACGTGCTTTCTTGTGAATGATGATATAGCGCTATCGAATATGGATAATTGCCAAGGTCATTTGTAGATGAGTTTCTTTGGATAATACTCGTAACATTTCAGAAACATGTAGAAAGTTCGTTACTTTAGAAATTAAGTAGTATATAAGTTGTACAAAAGGGAATAAATAAATCACAAATTTATAAACACTGTACGAAAAGAAATACATTTATTTATACATAAAAATATAGTGTTTCACAATAGGTACGACATTATGAAAATATTAATAAAAAAATTATACTGAAAAATACTCAGGATACGTAACGTATAATAATTAATACTAGTAGATGATAAGTAATACTAATGAATAATAAGCAAAATAATAGTAGACTTATAAAAGTGACATTCCCGTTCACCGGTAATGTACGATGCAAAATAATATATAATTACTCTTAACATTAAACGAAGTATCCTTCTTTGTAGCTTGGCTGCAAGGGCAGTTTATACTGTACATGTTTAATAAATAAATAATTTGATAGAGCTATCCACAACTTCGTTCAAGAAGTATTACAAAAAAATACATCATAATTAAATATCGAAATAGCACACGACACGGCTATTTCAGCCTAAAATCAGTGATATATTTAAAATACAAAATTCTTTGGCACATTCAAAATCGCTTATAAATGACAATGGCTGTACCGTTATCAGTATATAACAACTAAATGAAATGTCTGTTAATTCTCGAGCCGGTCGCCGAGCATTCAGTACTAAAATATAATTCCGTTACGTAGAATTATATTATATACAGCGCTTATAATTAAAACAATACCATTTGACTTTAACGAACACCGAAACTTAGCACATGGAGATTCTATTCTATCCCATTTGTCTCTCACGTCGTGTAATGAAAAGGTGGCATGATCAAAGCAATCGAGACTCGTTCTTTGGCGACTCCTCAATTAACCGTCCGGCCCATTTCTGTTTCGGGCTATAAAGAAACATTCGGTCATACACAACATATTCGTCGGTACAGAACGTTCGATTTTTTATTTCGAATATCTCCATCGAAAATAATAAGTCATTTTTGATAAATATTTATTTTCATGATAGGTCGAAATACTAAGAAATTTCGAACGAATATTTATCTTTAATAAAATGATATTTCCTATAAAAATTACTTACGCGTAACGGGTAGAGGAACGTGCTAACAATTTGTTGACGATGGCCAGACTTAGCTTGGCATGTGTAGCCACCCATATCTTCCCACATAAGCCCCTCTATCAGAAGATCTCCGTTATCCAAAACTCGGTGTCGTAGATTCGTCGATAGACTTAAAGGTTCATTAAAATTATCCACCCATGAAATTTCTGGTTTTGGCTTTCCACTCGCTCTACATGGTAGTATCACGGTCGCTCCTATGTTAGCCACTCGTGTGGGAGAATACATGGTGATCGTTGGGTCACTTTCGGAAGTGCAATTGCTGTTGGCACTTTCATCGCCTGCGAAAACCATAATTTTCACAGATGAATTACCGTAAATATACTATAAATGTAATAATAAAACATGTAGTAAGTAAAAGAAACTTAAGAATTTTCTTCTAAATGACAGTACAACAAAAGATAATTAAACCATATTATTTGTAATAATCTGTTGATTTCTGAATGAAATCTGTATTACCATTGAAAAGTATTCCAAGAAGCAATTGTTAATAATTGTTGCAAACTTATTAAGTCATTACCGGTTGGGAAAGCATGAAAAATCACGCAATATGTGCGTTACGATAGGCCGGTCGTCACGCGAAATTTGATGGTAGCAGTACAGATTGATTAATAATGATTAAAGCGATTTATTAATTACATTGTACTTACTGTTAACCAACACTCTTGTAGGAGTGGATACCTTCACTTCTGTCGCAGAAACCGACGCACAGTAGATCAATCCAGCATCATCCGGTGTAACGCACTCCAGTACGAGCTTCGAATTAATTCTGGCCACTCCTTTCCACTCCTCGGATGGTTCGTACAGGGAATGCGTGTTGGCTTTGACGTATTGGACAAGCTTATGGATAAAACACGCATTTAAATGTTCGTATATTTATCGGGTCGCTCGCCTACGTAATTTCATTGTAATTCGATGACGATCGATAGTAACATTCACCTGCTCGTTAGTGCCGCTTCCGGTGAACCAAAGAATTTCCGGCGGTGGGCTACCGCTAGCCTTGCATTCTAATTCTATCCTGCTCCTGCAACAAGCAAGAACGAAAGATTAGTATTTCTCATTCTTCGTAACTATTACTCTCTTTCATCGTTTGCGGTACTTACCCGACTGTTGTCGTAATGCCATTCACTGGATTCTGAGTGATTTTCGTCCACGGCTCTACAAGCTAGAAGTTCGAATAAAAACATCAGCATTATTCAACTTTGTTGGTTTTTGTAGAAACTCGATCATGAGAGGATTTCTTGGATATTTTTCGACGGAAAATTTCGGATTTAGAAGGAGCGTTTCCGATGGATTACGAAAGCGGTTTATCTTCGAATGACGTTGGCGACGACAATTAATTAATATGTTACCTTCGATTCGGTAGATCGTGCTCCATATTCTGCTAATGGAGTTAGGAAATTAGATCTGTGCTCGACCATTTGCCTTCCTATGCTCCTACGCTCAGCAACTCGTTCGACGGCATGCCGTGGCAGGAAGGAAAAGGTCCCGTAAAGGTGTCCCGAGACCGTGTAGGACACGACGATAATACAGACGAGATTCACCAGCGTTGAGTATGGTTGCATCTGAAAGCAAGATCGCAACCCGATTAGAACCAGTAGAATGGAATTCGTGTTGCTACATTGTTTAAATACCAGTCGTCGTGCGGGAGCAACCGGCGCCCATTAATAAACGAATATGAAAGAAACGGTTTAATGAATGCGAACGGACATTGTGCAATGATTGAATCAGACTGAAATTAAGGAACTCCAACGTCACGCTCTTTTCGCAGAAATTGGACCGATTGGATATAACAATGCGGATTTAATTGTCGGGTTAGGTGCGCGATTTATAATATCGATTCATTCGACCTTCCTCGGGGATATGAATAAACACAATTGGCAACAATGAAATTAAATGCCCTGGATCACAATGGTAATTAAATATCACCGGCAACGTGCATTCCATTCTTTCTTTTTCGAGCCTAATTCTTAGCGCGCCATGGTCATTAGCTGATTTCTACCTAACAATTTCGTTGTGATCTTCAACAAATTCTCGCCATTTATTGTAATACAGGATTTCTCGGTGTGGTGCGCGTCAGCCGCGACTCGTTTAATTAGAAAAAGGGAAGCAGCATCACAGACATTTCTCTGTAGTTGTTTCCGCCGCGTTTCTTCATAAATTAACGCGCTTTCTCACGCGCGCAGCGTTACGGGGAATTCGTCCAATGTCGACGGGACGGAAAGGTTTTCCAGGAAGGATGAGCCGGGAGACAGTGCTCAAAATTTCCATAGATAATCGATTTCGAAAGTCAGGAATGCCGGGTGGAGAAGGATTTTGAAATGGGCATAACTCGTGTCGAAATTGGTTTGCCGCACGGTGTGCCAGTCTGGACGTGCATCGGCCTTCATAGTCTTCTCGTTAAAGAGCATCGAAATCACCAAATTAGAGATTCCCTTACCTATCGTACTATCGTAATTTGAAATGTCCTCGATACTCTTCGCGCGGCACCCTCGGACGATTCCGAAGTTCGTTAAAAGCTGCCGCGCGCGGGATCTCTAATTTCTGTATGCCGATGCTTTCGTTCTCTCTCTCTCTCTCTCTCTCTCTCTCTCTCTCTCTCTGTCTCNGTTTCCGATGGATTACGAAAGCGGTTTATCTTCGAATGACGTTGGCGACGACAATTAATTAATATGTTACCTTCGATTCGGTAGATCGTGCTCCATATTCTGCTAATGGAGTTAGGAAATTAGATCTGTGCTCGACCATTTGCCTTCCTATGCTCCTACGCTCAGCAACTCGTTCGACGGCATGCCGTGGCAGGAAGGAAAAGGTCCCGTAAAGGTGTCCCGAGACCGTGTAGGACACGACGATAATACAGACGAGATTCACCAGCGTTGAGTATGGTTGCATCTGAAAGCAAGATCGCAACCCGATTAGAACCAGTAGAATGGAATTCGTGTTGCTACATTGTTTAAATACCAGTCGTCGTGCGGGAGCAACCGGCGCCCATTAATAAACGAATATGAAAGAAACGGTTTAATGAATGCGAACGGACATTGTGCAATGATTGAATCAGACTGAAATTAAGGAACTCCAACGTCACGCTCTTTTCGCAGAAATTGGACCGATTGGATATAACAATGCGGATTTAATTGTCGGGTTAGGTGCGCGATTTATAATATCGATTCATTCGACCTTCCTCGGGGATATGAATAAACACAATTGGCAACAATGAAATTAAATGCCCTGGATCACAATGGTAATTAAATATCACCGGCAACGTGCATTCCATTCTTTCTTTTTCGAGCCTAATTCTTAGCGCGCCATGGTCATTAGCTGATTTCTACCTAACAATTTCGTTGTGATCTTCAACAAATTCTCGCCATTTATTGTAATACAGGATTTCTCGGTGTGGTGCGCGTCAGCCGCGACTCGTTTAATTAGAAAAAGGGAAGCAGCATCACAGACATTTCTCTGTAGTTGTTTCCGCCGCGTTTCTTCATAAATTAACGCGCTTTCTCACGCGCGCAGCGTTACGGGGAATTCGTCCAATGTCGACGGGACGGAAAGGTTTTCCAGGAAGGATGAGCCGGGAGACAGTGCTCAAAATTTCCATAGATAATCGATTTCGAAAGTCAGGAATGCCGGGTGGAGAAGGATTTTGAAATGGGCATAACTCGTGTCGAAATTGGTTTGCCGCACGGTGTGCCAGTCTGGACGTGCATCGGCCTTCATAGTCTTCTCGTTAAAGAGCATCGAAATCACCAAATTAGAGATTCCCTTACCTATCGTACTATCGTAATTTGAAATGTCCTCGATACTCTTCGCGCGGCACCCTCGGACGATTCCGAAGTTCGTTAAAAGCTGCCGCGCGCGGGATCTCTAATTTCTGTATGCCGATGCTTTCGTTCTCTCTCTCTCTCTCTCTCTCTCTCTCTCTCTCTCTCTGTCTCCCTCTCTCTCTTTTTGTCTATCTCTGTCTCGCTTTCCTTGTGACACGCTCCAGCAGGAACCTTATAACGTAAGCATCGTGCCGATTCCCGCCCAGTTGGCGTCCTCACGGAACGGCCGTTTTTCTCGTGTCACAAAATTTCACGAACCGAAAACGTGTAGTAGAGGTCCGGCCGGCCGTGTGGCGTTACCGTTTTATCTTTGGCGCTCATTCCGCCTTTTTCCCCTTTCTCTATGCTCCTCCGGAGCGAGAGTAAGGAAGGTCACGCGCACGGTTTTAATGGAGATTAAGTAACTTGGCTGCTAACAAGGCAAGCCGTTTGGAAACGAATTCGCCTGGGCGTTAATGAAACACATGTGACGCAAAAAATCGAGTAGAATCGGCCGACGATACGCGGTCCGAAGTATGTGTCAACCTTTTTTTTGCTGCAAATATGTACTCATGCAGCGACTCGAGGGACAAATTTAAAAGTGCCTGAGACTTCCGAGATATTGGACCGCGCTTATCTTCTCACAATGACGAGGGTTACGTTTCCAAATGCCAGAATGAAACTCGGCGAATTGCTTGCACTTCGGCCTTCTACGGATTATTTGTTCACGGGTGCATCGGAAGATGCATACGTTCGTTGTACAAATTGAACGAGGGAACTATCATCGCAATTCGTTCAGAAACGAACTATGAGAAACCATTGAGAAACATGCTCCACGTTTGATACACCGAATATTGCAAAGAGCATTTCTTAGCATATTGGAGCATCATTTTTAATAATTACATCGTATTTAAAAAGAACAATGTCACTGATGAGATTAACATTTCGTAATTATTGTATGAGAATATGTAAAGATTCTGTCCAAGGTCCGATAAAATGATTCAAAGTACCAGACTTGCTGCGTCACTTCAATTTGAAAATTTCAGAGTCACGATCAGAAACTGATGTAAGATCTGCTATAGGTGGAAACAGACACGGTATACTGAGCGAATACCTTGAGACACGCGAATGCAGAAATAAAGATAATGAATTATAGTTGAAAAGTGTGACAAGTACATTGGTTTTTCTCTCGTGCGATCAAGATAGAGAAAAGAAAATTTGAGAGAATTCAGAAAAATGGTTTGCAATTCTGTCGTTAGAATATATGTGCTAAAAATAGCCTGCAGTTCTTCGAACATTACCTACTTTCGAAGCTGGTGGATAGAATTTAAAAATTCAACGTACTGCGGTCGCTGTCGTTTTTGTTCTCGCAGACGTTTTTGTAACATCTTCGCACGAGATGCGTCTGTTATCTCTATTTTTTTCTTCCCGTTTATAAAGACAAATTTACACGTGGCCAGACGCGAAGCAGTCGCGCGAACAGCCGACTGATCATATGCCTCATCTCATTGCAATTAATAAATTCAGTGTTCCTTACCTTTCTGCTAGTGAATCACGATGGATAGTTGTCACACGTAGATAAAGCGCGCAAAACTATTAATCCTGGTACCGCTATGAGATATAATTTTCGATAAAGATACTCGCGCCGGAGATGCTTTGTAGGAGCGCACATCACGGGAAGAGGTTTCGAACCGAATGATGCAACTTCTTATACAATCTTCGCATCTTCCCTACGATCTTGCGCCCTCTTTCCTCAGGGCCCTTTAACAGTGTCTTAATCTAGAGATGATATCGGAGAAACTGAGGTGCGCGATAAGGAATTATGCAATATCGTATCAAAATGATTCAAGTGACGGGAATTCCGACGTTTTTTCTCAACATTTTTTCCTTACCGAGAAAAATGTGATTAACACGACCATCATTATAACGATGATTAACTAATTGATAGTAGAAACGACGAATAAGATAACTAGTCGATTTCTAAACGAGACCGTGTCATTCTTTCAAAAATCTATTTATTAACAGAGTGTCGATCCAGTTTGGTAACTGTACATTCGAATGCTCTGATTCCCGATGAAAATGATACCGGTCTACGATGATTTTGCGTGAGAAACTCATGAAAAATGTGCAGCACTCAGCGGAACCAGAAAAACGCGAAAAGGTCGAATCACGATAACAAGCCACCGAAAAAATCGAACGGTAATGCAAAACTGTCGTAACAGCAAAAATCATTGGTAGGCTAGAATGTGTTAAGTCTGCCGATCTACACCCAGTCGAAAAAATTGGCGAGCATTCGCATTTGATTAGCCGGTTTCTTATCGTGCAAGACGTTAACGGACGCATAAATGAAAACCGATGTATACGGGACCACCGCACCGGCACATCTCGCACTCACCATTTTTCTTTGGACTTTCTCTCGAACGTGGAAACGAACGCCGGCGTTCACTATTAATCGTCAGTTTGGCAGCAGCGAATAAAAATACTGACTGAGCGTCGAGGAACAGTTATTGACACATTTATATATTTCGAATGTAGCGACGGCCGCCCTCCCTTATCCCGGATTGGACGACATAGTGAGGAGTAGGGCAATAAAAACCACACCAAACAATTGAATTCATTATACGCGCGCCTCGTTTGTGCACATGTAATAGTCGCACCCAATTTACTTCCACCCTCATCTATGCCGATCGATTTTTACTTCGAAAGGACTGCCAACGATAATTAGTTTTATTGAAACTGATCGTACCAGGAAGGAGACGGCCGCAATTACCCCCAAACGAGCACCTTCTCTCCGTTAGATCCAGCCAACGTTCGACTGCCCAAACTTCCCAGAGACCCGCTTCTTAATTTGCCGGGGTGGATTCCTGACACGCGAAACACCAGGAATAAGCCAGATGTAATTGCCTGATAAACAACAAATTGGTAGAACACCGTGGCAAACTAAATTTACTCAATTAAAGGCGATATTAATGATTTATCGCAACTCGGTCCGAGTGCAACGCAAGATTTCTTTTTGCAGACCCCATGCAAAGTCTCGGATATTTTCCGTTCTTTTTTCTGAATTGATGGAATTATTTAATTTACTGTTAATTAGTTGTCGTGACAAATTAGATGTGGGAGTGAGCAATATCGCATAAAAATATGTTTATTGCAAAAATTTATTGTAACGTCTGCTAAAATTGACGGTATTACATAGTTATACTTGCTATAGTATATTGTACTTTTCATCACTGAGTGAAGATATATTTCTCTTCAATTTTGCATATTTCTTTTTCTCAAAGAACGAGTGGCATTTATACTTATTTTATAGTAGCGGTGAAAGAGTATGATTTATATCTTAAAAAAAAAAATCATTAATGGAATATACCACGAAATAAGTTTATAGTGTAATTTTGACATTGATTTCAAGAATCAAATAAAAACTTTGAGAAGATCGGACGAATTTCGGTTATAAAATTTATATTAAATATTTTCTTTGTATTAATTAATAATATTATTAATAATATTAATTAATTATATATAATTATCTATTTACATTGAAAATGAAAAGTATTAATTGTATGTAATGTATTAATTAATTATAATTATTGTAAAACTAGATTACATTCTCAATTTATAAATACAAAATAATTTCTGTGGAGTTTATCAATAAAATAAAAAGTTTACAGTTTGTGTACGCAAAATAATGTTCATAGACACAACTGCGATATGTGAGCGGTACTTTGACACAAATTTTTTTTAGCCAATGTACGTCACATCGTGGTGTATAGAATTGATCAGACAGTTTCCAATCTTCGACTATTATTTTCACTACTATTATATTCGGTTGATTTGATTTCTTGCTGTGATAATTCAAATGTACGAGCTACAATCAGGGGATATTTTATCGTTCGTAGAAAATAACTGAAGGAAATAGGAAAAAATGAAATTGTTTCATGTTTATTTGTTTAATATTTAATTGATTTTGTTTAATACAGATATATTTGAAGGAAAACTATTTGGTATCAAATAGTATGTATGTATGTATGTCTTACATTATGTAAGACAGTATTTTTATAAAAAAAACGTATAAAAATTTTATTTCATTCACATAATATACATAATGTAGATTTTTATATCAGTGGATATTGTGTTCAGAAGGTAAATTTTCTGTATTGAACTTTGATTTAACTGAAATTGCGTCAATAATTTTAGCCGTTCTAAGAACCTTTTCTTGTAGTCTTTTAAAGTTTTTATCTACGTCTTTTGCATTTGTTAGTATATTCTGTAAATTCTGAAAATTAAAATACAATAATAATTTATTTGTTAGAAAACACGGTTTCATATTATTTGTTCATAAGTGAAGTATTACGCTATAAATATATGACATACAAATAAAAAATTTGTTTGATATGTAAACATAACCTCTAACCATTTTTACATTCTCTTGAAGCTCCGCTGTATGTTCTTCAACATATTTAGTCTCATCGTAAAAGGATGGTTGCGACGTCGAGTCAGTGTCCATAATGAAACAGGTGTTTTATTATTTGACAATACAAATTTTATGCGATGACACTATTAACCTATAATTACATACATTCACATGTGTATTACACATTATTTTAGATTCACTAATTAAAAAATCTATAGAGTGTAATATTCCAGAATAAATTTTTTCCTGAAGTGTGAATAACCCTTAAATATCTTTTGCTTTGCTGTATACACTTCCGGTTAATTTGAAGTTAAAATTTTATATTATTTAAAAAATGGTTTTGTGTTGTTTTTAACAGTAGGTTTTCCTAAAAATAAATTTCGCATGTCTTTAGCGTAGTTTATATTCAACAGAGTTGACGACTTGTTTCTGTTGATCTATGTCATAGATTCTATGACTTTATTTCTCATGAAGTTTCAGATAATCTTGTTAGAGCGCGTTCTTAGTCTACTATACAATGCTTTACCATTGACTTGACCTTCTATGAAATGATTAGTTTAAATTGTTATCATGTTCGCAATTTTAAAAGATGTTTGAATAATTTTTTGAAGATGCCATATTCGTAGAGATGCAGATTAGATGTTTAACAGATATTATATTATGGAAGCGCAAACAGATCCACCTGTTCCGCGGCCACAAGTCAATTCATTAACTTCATTTCCTGGTATGTATTTACATATTTACTACAATAATATTTGCGATTATAAACATAATTTTCCCTAACGAACCATCATATATGACATGACAGCTATTGATTCTTACATTTACTGTAATTAAATCTAACACCTGGACCTATTATAAACTGATTGCATTTTAACTTAAATTTGTTACAGAAATGTGGTATTACATATTTTTATGGGCCTTTATCTCTTCTGTTTTTGTTCATACCATAGCTGGTGCAATCTGCTTTGGTACGTTAAGACAACATAAGTATGGCAAGTACGTAAGATATCATAGTGTTGTTGTTACAAGTAAATAAATAGGAATTGCTGAAATAATGAGTTCAACTGGTGTTATAGTGAAATAAAAACATCAGTAAATATACAATAATAATTAATTTTTGTTTTAAAGATTCTTCCCATTGCTGATTATAATAATGGGAGTATTGTTACCACTGACATCAGGAGTTCTTAGCTCCGCAGCTGTTGCTTTTGTATATAGAGCATCACGTTATCCACTGCCACGTTTGTATGCACTGTTTTGGGGTATTGGACAGACTGTTGTAGCAGGATGTGTTGGATTTACAAGAATTCTAGCAACTTTATAATGGAAAAGAATGGTGTGATGACAAAATATACTATTAGCAAAAAATGTTAATGCACATTGGCATTTCTAAAGAAAAAGGGAGAACAAGTGAATACTATTTTATTAGAATTAGTATTACTGATAGATAATAGTGTATAAGGAAATTTGTACATACATGGATATATAATGCACATATGTAATAATGAAGACTTAAGGTGGCGTGTGTATTATTAGATTTTTAAATTGATCAGAAAATAAAATGTTATTTATTATCAACATAGAATGTGAAGTTTTTTGAAATCTAAGATTGTAAGAAGTTCCTTATTTTAAACTTGTAGAAATGAAATTGTTGCATATGTATATTCTAAATAGAATTTATTGCAAAATACAAATTTCTCAAATATATTTTTATATAATCAAACAACATTTGTATTTATGTACAAATTATTATGTGTTCATTCTTGTGATTTCTCAGTTTTTATGTGTTGTTTAAATTCATTTGCAATATTTTTAATTTCCACTAAACCAGCCTCCAATTCCTTGGTAACTTCAAGTTTTGTGACTTCATCTGTAGAAGTTAAGCTTTTTAAGACCATATCTGTAAAATAAATAGTGATGTAATAGCATTTTTATGAAATGTTTAGGCTGAAGATTATAATTTGTTATGTAACTCTACAAAAATGTATAAGGTATGTTTTATTACAAGTAATTTCTCTTTCAAGACGATCCTCCTGTTTTTACGATCATTTAATTTTTTATTATGATTATAAATTTCGTGGTACAAAAGAGTACCGAAAAAAATATCTATCCATATTAAGAATGAATGACTTTGGAAACATTAGTATAACCAGAATTCAATAAATATTTAATTAGATATTTCATACCATGGTATTTAGATAGTATTGCCGCTGTTGAAGGTTGTAAATGTGTTTGAAGGAATGAGAGAACTGTGGATACATGTCTGCCAGACATGTATAAAGCATTCTGTGTTGCTGCAGTAAATAATATACTTGTGACTAGATGCAATGCCAATGCAGAGTCCTGAGTACCATTAAGTTCTTCTAATAATGCTTCCCTATGCCCCAATATGAACGGTCGTTCCTTCTTTTTATCATATTTTTTTAGTACTAAACAACAAGATGCCATTGCGACATCTGTAACATTAAGAAAATCATCTATAGACGTTCCAGTGATAGATTTATGTATATTACTCAAGGGTTCCTTGACATCATCAGGCAAATCCAACAACATCTTCTGTCTAGCCTCAGTGGTAACGTTGTTAGGAATTTGTAGCATATTTTGTTGTGCAGCTAATTTAAATAATTCTGTCAAAAAATCTGTACCAAGAGATTTTAATAAATATTTGGTTAAAGCAGGCTGATCTGCTTTGTCTAAATATTTAATGCCTTTATCAAATACTTTAATATTTGTTAGAAGCATATTAAGACGTTCTTCAATCTCACTTAAATTAGTAGTTTTGTTATTCTGTCCTAATTGAGTTGCCAAAGATATTGCATGGTTATTTATTTTAGGTTGCAAGTACCCTGCGAGCTCTTCTACTAAATCATCAATTACTGATAGATTATCATCTTTCATAATTTCATTCTGTATATCTTCGAAGGATACCAGCTGAATCTCAACTTTCCCTGTTACGTGTTTTGGATACTCGTCGTCAGAATCATTGTCACGAGCTCTACCTTGTAAATATTTTTTTTTAGTGGATTTTGTTTTCGTTTCTCTTCCTTGACTACCACCACCTGCTTTACCGATTGTTGCCTTCTTTCGACGTTCCATTTTCCTATTTCCTTTGCTTTCTATGATTATATCAGCTGACTTTGACTTCAGTCTAGTCTCTGCTACAGTTTGAAACCATTGACCACTAGCAACCATTTCTTTTGCTTTTCTTTCTGCTATGGTTTCAAAAGATTTGCACAGTGATTGTAAAAATGCATCTGTCGTTACTACAGTTTTTGCAAATATTTGTGTGTTGTTTAATTTCTTTTCTGCTAATTTAAGGAGCATGTCCATATCTGTATCAGTAAAAACAGAAGGTAGGAGAGGACTTATATCTACAAAGGATCCACTTTCAACAGCTTCTTCAATATTTGCATATACTTGATCAGTAATAGCTGTACCAACAGCAACAGAGTCCAACGATATTATATCTTCATTTGGGAAATGCCGTTTCACAAAACTTTGTGGATCAGATATTCCAAGGCGAGTGAGTGCATCATATTCTAATAACAGACAATAGTAAAATCAGCTATAGTTAAAATATTGTGTTTAAGATTATGTTGTTACTATGCCGCTGATATAATTTTAAAATAAAATACAAACCTAAATAACCATTTTGTTTGTAAAAATTTTCCACCCATTCATTTTGGCTTTTAGAGTATATAGTTGGTACATAAAAGCTCTTTATTCCCTGCTTCCCTACTACAACACCAGGAATTTGTTTCATTTCCTGCAGATTATCTATAATTGCTGTAAATTATAAACACAAGTATTAAATTATTAGTAATTATAAACATACATGTACATGTAATATATTCAGTTTGTACCTACAGAAAAATATTTTTTCTGATACAGAACATTGTGTTAAAACTGACAATGGCGTAGGCTTGGTAATAGCAGATAAGGCCCCTCTTATTTTAGCTCTGTTTTTAGCTATAAAGCTTTCTGTATAAAAGACTCCAAAATCTTGTGGATCCTGTTTACCAAATATAGTTTTTCCTAATTCTTTCTCTATGAGTGGTAATACAAAATCAGCAGGTAAATCGTATCGCATTGTTATTTCATCAATATCGATAATTCCATGTTGCATTAATTTCTCATTGACATATTGGATAATTTTGTTTGTATGAGTTTTATCAATGAGTTGCCCAAGTACTATTTTAAGTCCCTTAGTACTCTTTTCTAATTTAGTTGCCACTTGAGATACCTGAGATAAACTGACATTCAAGATCTGTGCTAAATCAACCAAACTAATTCTTCCACCGTGGTCATATAATTCATCTTTAATTTCTTTAGCAAGATGCTGAGGGGTAATATATTCCTTGCCATCATTGGTAAATATGATGTTTAATAATTTGTTCTCCACTAATTTTGTTATAATTTCCACACAATTTCGTTCAGATAATCTGTAAAATTAAAAATAAAAATCATAATAAAGTACTTTATTTGTGGGTATTTCTATAACAGAGAGAGAAACAAATGAAATGATTGTTCAATACATGCAATTGCAACTATTGCTTTATTTTAATATGTGTGTTAGTTTTACAGCTGTTCCAAGTGACTCAGATATGAATGTTTTGTTTATATAAAATTACTAAATCAAATGTTCTTTCTTAAAGTAAATCGTACTTTTGTAATGTTGAGCTTAGTTGTGCTTTCTGAAAATCAGCGGCTAATCTTTTAACTTCGTCCCAGTCCGGTGTATTCATTTTAAATTCTTCAGACTTTGACTACCAGATTGTACATACAGCTCCATACAATTAAGACATTTCACCACTTGACACTGGTCATGGTCACGCCGTCATGTCATATCAAATCCTTCGACTACGTACTACAAGCAGTGCTGTAAGATTTAAAGAATTTCTATCTCAGTGCCATCGACGGTGGAGTGATGAACTTTTGAAAACTTGGCGTGAGTTCGTAGACTATATCAGTAATGCTCAATCGAAGACGGGAGCAGACCTCCTAGAATCCTGACTGTTCGTGGAATTTTCTCTCAAAACCAGTGTGTCCATTGGTGTCAGGGTTTCTGCCAATGGAAATCCAGTGGCATCATCCAATCCCATTTGTGATAGGTAATTTTCCCACTCCTACTTTCCTGTTAGAAAGTCGTAAAGCGGTCAGGATGTTGGGAGGTCGGGATGGGAATGCAAGAATTACCGCCGCTACGCATGTGCCGTACTCATTATTGTAGGATTTGAAGAAATTCCACCTGAGCTCCGTCGACGGTAGAAAGGCGAATCTCAACTTGTGAGAATGTCGCTCTATCAGATCGGTATTTGATTGTACAGATTTCGTTACAGAAATGGTATTATCCAAAGAAATGATAAATATGAGATGGAGTTACCGGCGTTTTCTATTAGGAATGAAAAAGAAACTCAATTTAAATAGAAACATTCCCCGAATCGAGAAATGCAGTGACATTTTTTTATAATTTTTGAATCATTAGAGGTATTGCAATGAAATTTTCACTACAAATATTTAAGAAATAATCATTGTTAACTTTAGGTAATTAAATATTTTTTGCATTTGTTGAACAATAATTGATTGATATTTGATTGATATTTTTGATAAAAAATTGTTTAAATATAATTTTACGAACTATCTTTTATTTTTTAAATCTGTATTTTATATGTACGTAAAATATACAAGCAAATAATCTTTTTGTTATCAACGCATACAAAAATGACCGAAAAGCTAAATACGCATTTCAAGCACACAAATAGATGTTTTTATAATTATTTATAATACTTATAATTTTTCAGCGTTGCGGATTGAGGAATACAATGCCGTTTTTGTATAACTTTTTAACGATTTGGTCACAATAATCTACAAATGTCATAAAAATCATAAAAAATTATATTAGAAATATCTAATTTATTAGTGTTATTACATAATTTATCTAAGTTCTCAATTACCTTTGTGAATACTTTTATTCATATGCTAGATGCTAAAGGATCAAACAAATTCTGAGATGTCCAAATGTGACTAGAGAATCGAAGATTGCTTATTTGTACTATAGTATAAACATACGAGGTGCTTGTAATCTGAATCTAAACAATTCGCTTACAAACTGGAAGCCGAGGTTCTCGTTCCTTGCAGAGTTTTACCTATAGCAAGCGTTGCCGTACGCCGAGCCTTGAACATAAAGGACCTAGTGATTAGTCAACAGCATGCAATGTATATACAGGGTGTCCCACAATTATTTTAACAGCCGAAAATGAGGGGTAGCTGAGGTCATTTGAAGTAACTTTTTCCTTTGCGAAAATGCAGATGTGTATAAGAGACAGGATTAATTAAGTGATCAGTGTTTAGTCTATCTCTTATACACATCTACGTCTGAAGAATATTCACTAATTTTTCGGACTCGAAATAATATGTAGTTTAACCGTGACAGCTGTTTTAATTTTCTGGTGTGCATGACCTGTCTCTTATACACATCTCGGTACTATTTTCTTCGAAGCACAGGGTAACGCCAAATGAAATAGATGTGTATAAGAGATAGACTAAACACTGATCACTTAATTAATCCTGTCTCTTATACACATCTCGGTACTATTTTCTTCGAAGCACAGGGTAACGCCAAATGAAATAGATGTGTATAAGAGATAGACTAAACACTGATCACTTAATTAATCCTGTCTCTTATACACATCTCGGTACTATTTTCTTCGAAGCACAGGGTAACGCCAAATGAAATAGATGTGTATAAGAGATAGACTAAACACTGATCACTTAATTAATCCTGTCTCTTATACACATCTCGGTACTATTTTCTTCGAAGCACAGGGTAACGCCAAATGAAATAGATGTGTATAAGAGATAGACTAAACACTGATCACTTAATTAATCCTGTCTCTTATACACATCTCGGTACTATTTTCTTCGAAGCACAGGGTAACGCCAAATGAAATAGATGTGTATAAGAGATAGACTAAACACTGATCACTTAATTAATCCTGTCTCTTATACACATCTCGGTACTATTTTCTTCGAAGCACAGGGTAACGCCAAATGAAATAGATGTGTATAAGAGATAGACTAAACACTGATCACTTAATTAATCCTGTCTCTTATACACATCTCGGTACTATTTTCTTCGAAGCACAGGGTAACGCCAAATGAAATAGATGTGTATAAGAGATAGACTAAACACTGATCACTTAATTAATCCTGTCTCTTATACACATCTCGGTACTATTTTCTTCGAAGCACAGGGTAACGCCAAATGAAATAGATGTGTATAAGAGATAGACTAAACACTGATCACTTAATTAATCCTGTCTCTTATACACATCTCGGTACTATTTTCTTCGAAGCACAGGGTAACGCCAAATGAAATAGATGTGTATAAGAGATAGACTAAACACTGATCACTTAATTAATCCTGTCTCTTATACACATCTCGGTACTATTTTCTTCGAAGCACAGGGTAACGCCAAATGAAATAGATGTGTATAAGAGATAGACTAAACACTGATCACTTAATTAATCCTGTCTCTTATACACATCTCGGTACTATTTTCTTCGAAGCACAGGGTAACGCCAAATGAAATAGATGTGTATAAGAGATAGACTAAACACTGATCACTTAATTAATCCTGTCTCTTATACACATCTCGGTACTATTTTCTTCGAAGCACAGGGTAACGCCAAATGAAATAGATGTGTATAAGAGATAGACTAAACACTGATCACTTAATTAATCCTGTCTCTTATACACATCTCGGTACTATTTTCTTCGAAGCACAGGGTAACGCCAAATGAAATAGATGTGTATAAGAGATAGACTAAACACTGATCACTTAATTAATCCTGTCTCTTATACACATCTCGGTACTATTTTCTTCGAAGCACAGGGTAACGCCAAATGAAATAGATGTGTATAAGAGATAGACTAAACACTGATCACTTAATTAATCCTGTCTCTTATACACATCTCGGTACTATTTTCTTCGAAGCACAGGGTAACGCCAAATGAAATAGATGTGTATAAGAGATAGACTAAACACTGATCACTTAATTAATCCTGTCTCTTATACACATCTCGGTACTATTTTCTTCGAAGCACAGGGTAACGCCAAATGAAATAGATGTGTATAAGAGATAGACTAAACACTGATCACTTAATTAATCCTGTCTCTTATACACATCTCGGTACTATTTTCTTCGAAGCACAGGGTAACGCCAAATGAAATAGATGTGTATAAGAGATAGACTAAACACTGATCACTTAATTAATCCTGTCTCTTATACACATCTCGGTACTATTTTCTTCGAAGCACAGGGTAACGCCAAATGAAATAGATGTGTATAAGAGATAGACTAAACACTGATCACTTAATTAATCCTGTCTCTTATACACATCTCGGTACTATTTTCTTCGAAGCACAGGGTAACGCCAAATGAAATAGATGTGTATAAGAGATAGACTAAACACTGATCACTTAATTAATCCTGTCTCTTATACACATCTCGGTACTATTTTCTTCGAAGCACAGGGTAACGCCAAATGAAATAGATGTGTATAAGAGATAGACTAAACACTGATCACTTAATTAATCCTGTCTCTTATACACATCTCGGTACTATTTTCTTCGAAGCACAGGGTAACGCCAAATGAAATAGATGTGTATAAGAGATAGACTAAACACTGATCACTTAATTAATCCTGTCTCTTATACACATCTCGGTACTATTTTCTTCGAAGCACAGGGTAACGCCAAATGAAATAGATGTGTATAAGAGATAGACTAAACACTGATCACTTAATTAATCCTGTCTCTTATACACATCTCGGTACTATTTTCTTCGAAGCACAGGGTAACGCCAAATGAAATAGATGTGTATAAGAGATAGACTAAACACTGATCACTTAATTAATCCTGTCTCTTATACACATCTCGGTACTATTTTCTTCGAAGCACAGGGTAACGCCAAATGAAATAGATGTGTATAAGAGATAGACTAAACACTGATCACTTAATTAATCCTGTCTCTTATACACATCTCGGTACTATTTTCTTCGAAGCACAGGGTAACGCCAAATGAAATAGATGTGTATAAGAGATAGACTAAACACTGATCACTTAATTAATCCTGTCTCTTATACACATCTCGGTACTATTTTCTTCGAAGCACAGGGTAACGCCAAATGAAATAGATGTGTATAAGAGATAGACTAAACACTGATCACTTAATTAATCCTGTCTCTTATACACATCTCGGTACTATTTTCTTCGAAGCACAGGGTAACGCCAAATGAAATAGATGTGTATAAGAGATAGACTAAACACTGATCACTTAATTAATCCTGTCTCTTATACACATCTCGGTACTATTTTCTTCGAAGCACAGGGTAACGCCAAATGAAATAGATGTGTATAAGAGATAGACTAAACACTGATCACTTAATTAATCCTGTCTCTTATACACATCTCGGTACTATTTTCTTCGAAGCACAGGGTAACGCCAAATGAAATAGATGTGTATAAGAGATAGACTAAACACTGATCACTTAATTAATCCTGTCTCTTATACACATCTCGGTACTATTTTCTTCGAAGCACAGGGTAACGCCAAATGAAATAGATGTGTATAAGAGATAGACTAAACACTGATCACTTAATTAATCCTGTCTCTTATACACATCTAAATGACCTCAGCTATCCCTGATTTTCGGCTATTAAAATAATTGTGGAACACTCTGTATAATCGTGACGGCGAATCTTGCTGATATTCGCTTATTGTTATTCAGTATTATTCATTTCTTGTTATCCTTGTTAAGTTTACTGTTATTTCTTTACATTGTTGGGTTACAGTTAGTTACGTTTAAAT